ATTCACTTGAAATCGGATTACCGCTGCGAAAAAGCACATGGAAAGGAGAGGTCCATGGCCTCATGGAAATAGTTTCTTCCACACAACTCAAGTATTGATGAATCACAGCAGGAAATAATTAGTCTAGGTGAAAGAATTATTGCCGGTGACAGTTTCACCTTGCGTGTTCTTGGCCTGAGTTTTACCGAGTTGCTCCTTTTTCCAGCTTTCATGAGAAGCAACATGGTCATGGGAAGGAATGTATTGCTGCCAAAGCACACATTGTGAATTTATCAAGGCTTCTGTTTTGTTTTGGAATTCAAAACCATTTCTTCGACTAATAAACGAGTAAGCTCACTCATCGACAGGATAGAAAAGTCGGGTTATCACTATACCTCCATCTTCTGAACAAGTTCTTTGGCTGTTGGAGCAGAGACAACTATATGCCGAGCACCCGGCTTGATGAATCCTTCTTCGACACCATTGTCAAATAGCGCAAGCAAGGTATTATAGTACCCATCTACATTAAGCAAACCAACCTGTACAGAGTAATATCTAAGTTACACATTCAAAATTAGTAGGAGTTGATCGTAACATTTTCAATAACGGAAATTGATGCATTACCGGCTTCATATGAATCCCAAGTTGCGACCATGTTATTATCTCCAACAGCTCTTCCATAGTTCCATATCCTCCTGAAACCGAAATTAACACTGTACTAAGCACAAGCATTGTAATTTTTTAAAGTTTTTAGTGAAAATTTGTGATGTAACTACCAGGAAGAGCAATGAAGGCATCAGCCTCTTGAGCCATCAAAGCTTTGCGTTCATGCATGTTTGCAACTGTTCTTACTTCTCCAAAGGATGGACCAGATATCTGTCAAAGTTATCCGTAACATATCTTTTAAACCAGAGAACTAAAACTGAGATAATAAAAGACCATGAACAATTTCTTCCCCGAATCCACTAAGAATGTGCACGATGACCCCGTTTAAAATGTGAAAACACTACATCAAACATTTTCAAGAATTAAGGGGAAAAAACAGCATGAAATCAATCAAGAACAGTTGCATTTACAAAATGACGAGAGAAGGCGAGGATAAGATCAGTATATGGATGTGTAGAGATACCTCAAGAGGAATGAGAGCTTTTGGAATGACCCTGCATGTAAAAAGCAGGTATGATTTTACTTGAGCGACGTTTTTATGATCAACAGAGACATTGTTTGCATTAGTAACATGTTTATGAAGTAAAAGACCAAATTATACCATATAACTCAAAGCAAAAGTTTCATTTATATATACCCAAGAACATGGCAACCTCCGTCATACACTGTCTGCGATACCAAACCCATCAACCCGACACTTCCACCGCCATACACCAAATCTATCTTCCTTTTCACCTGCAATATCCACCAACAAAAGTAAACAAGTAACTCCCAGATCATCTTCTAGGGGAAAATTAAGCATCGAAAACAAACGAGTATAAATTCCTTTGTCAATGCATCTGCATAAAGATATACACTTTGCAAAAGTGCTTAATATTCCTGACCAGAAATCACAGCACACGAATAGCCCCAGTGGTGATTAGCAAACAGAACAAACCCGGTTCCGGTTCGAGGAGAGAAACTTCCTAACATATTGAATATATCTCCCCCCCCCCCCCCCTCGCATCCGACTAGAGAGAGATAAAGAGAAAGGGTATACAACACGTGATAGACAAGTTTTTCTCCGTTTCGAGGCATTACAGAATACACAGCCATTTGACAACTCTAAACTAAACAAATCAACAAGAAGCTCTTTTGTGAAACAATAAAAAACCAAAACAATCCCATTATCCGTAAAAACACCAAAAACCCATCAAAAAGCAACTCAAGGTGGATTCAAACTCATCAAAGATTACATCTTTATACCTAAAAACCCTGCACTTAAACAGCAATAAACACGATTAAACAAAGATTAAGCAAAAAGAGCGTAAAAAGTAGAACAAAAGCAGTCATACCAGTTCATTACCCAACTCCAGAGTAGCATCACTGAACACTTTTCTGCGGCCAGAGTTGCTTCCACAGAACACACAAATCCTCCTGAACTTGCTGCTTTTGTTCTCTTCCATTCACAAAGTCTGCAACTTTTTTTCACACTTTTTGGGGTCAATCCAGCATCATTTGTCAAAAAAGACCTGAAGGCAAGAAAAACCGAGGCAAATGGGTAAGTTTTATGCAGATTATATGGTATTTTAACATCAAAAGCACAAAACTTTATGCAAAATCGATGGAGGACGAGAGAGAGAGGGAGAGCATACGAGAGGGGTTCTTTGAAAGGACAAATGGGTTGATCCTAAAATTGGTAAAATCAATCAAATTGGTGCGCTTGTGGGTTTCATGTATCCGGTGAGTGAAGCACGGATAACCCACATGCTCCATTCCCTTTCTAAACCGACGTCATTTTGTCTGGAATTACAAACCGAACACTGTATATTGTCATCGTGACGTCTTATTTATAATGTTATGTGACTCATTTTACATAAGTTATTCTCGTATTTATGAATTAATTAAAATTATAAATCAGAAAATAAAATTAACTCACAGTTGTAAATTGTTGCGATGGATAGAAGTTTATTTATTTACTTCTCTACGTCTCGAGTTCAAATCATCTACAAGAGCTCCGGTGTGTAATTTAATATGGAAATAGTTAATTTGAAAACTTTTTTTTTGTCAAATAAAATAAAATAATTAGAATTATATTCGTGAAGATTTGGGAGAAGACAGATTAGTGTAGACTCAGCAAATAGCTGGGACTGTTAATTAATGCTCCAAATATTGGCGGGCATTGACTTCTACTTAACAAAATTTTTATTGTTAATTAAATTAAACCCTTTTTTAATGGAGATTAATTTTGACAACCGCGTGTTTTGTGTTTGTTGTGTGCCAATATTTTTGTAGCGACGTGAAGTTGTAAGCACAGTAAAATTAGTTTTAATTTATTTCGACTTTTTAATCAAAATAGTTTCTAAGGTTGACATAACTCTTTACTTTAGTCTCTCTCACATGTATAGTTTCCAAACTCAGGTGGTGCTAGGACCACCTTGGTCCGTATTTCCATCCAGCCTTGCTTGAGATTATCCACAGTCAATCATTTTGATCATTCTGTGAAAAATCTCAGTTAAATTGAGGGTATTTTGGTCATATCAACCCCTTCACTTGTACAGGTGGTTCCTTCATTTTAACGAAAATTTTTCAAAATGAGCAAAATGATTGATGGTAGGCAATCGTAGGGACTACTTCTATTAAATTTAAATATCAAGACCAAAGTGAGAAGTTATAGCAATCTCATAGACTATTTTGATTAAAAATAAGTTTTGATTACTTACCAAAAAAATAAAGTTGATCTCATACAATATTACGTGAATACTCACTAACTTGACTCCTTTTTCTTTTTTTTATTGAATCCACTTACTTGACTCGTTTGAGCAATACTTTTTACATATATAAAATTTAGTTTGACATATATACAAAAGTAACTCATTAAAATTACAAAACGAAATTATACGCATAAAGCGTTTCCGTCTCACAGTCCATACTTCATAGCAATAAAGAATAGTGGATGCTCAATTTCTATTTGTCTTTTGTTTTGTTATGAATGCATGTGTGTCGACATGAATTATAAATCAAATGCAAGACAATCAACGTTTTAGTTAAGTTGATTGGTTGGCCTAAAAGGAAAAGGAAAAAAAAAGTTGATTGGCTACCTTTGTTTGGTTGGTGCTTTGATGTCAAATCTTTCATACACGGTGAGTTATTAGGGTCAGCTCAAGTGGCAACCGGACGTGATAACAAAATGAAATAAAGCGTTTTTGAGTTTAGTACTTTTTAAAATAACAACAAAAATATCTTTGTTTTTATTTAGAATGTTTAAATGTGGACAGATTATTAGGAAGATAAGAATGTATAATTTCATATTTTCCGCAATCGCATTAAGCTTAGAGCTCGTTTGAAAAATACGACCTCAGCATTTTCAAACATGGGAACAAAAATTTCTCATCCTCCCCCACTAGAAGTAGGGGTGGAAAAAATTCCCGAAAATCCCGAACTGAACCGAAAAAACTCCGATCCCAAACTAAAAATTTCCCAAACTAAAATTTCGATACGGGATTCGGGATTGGCTTCTCAATATTTCGGGAATCCCATACCGAACCGAAAATATATAATATTAATTATTATATATATATATATTTATACATATATATTATATATATTATTCTTTTATAATTGATGCTAGTAGTTTCTAATTCATGCTCCGCAACCTGAATGCCCTACACCTTGCATATTTTTCATGTTCAGTTTGATATTCATTTGGATTTTATTATTGCTGCTGCCATGGCTGATGATTTCAGAATGCTTGATTCTTTTGTCTCTCAACAGATTGCAAAAAGGGTTTAATTAATTTGAATTTTGGCTTTGATAAAAACAGTCAGGCATGCCAGTTTTACATTAAATGGTAGTGTGAATGAAATGACATTCCTAGTTCATGAATGTGTTCTTGAATTATATATTTGAAAAACAATTCATAATTTCATATTTCAATTTGGAATTCCTGATTTGTCCCGAAATCCCGAAAATATTTCGGGATTCCCGAAAATTTGGTTTGAGATTGGTCTTTAAATTCCAGTCCCGAAAACTTTCGGTTTGGGATTCGGGATACTAGTTTCGGTATGGTATCCCATACCGACCCACCCCTAACTAGAAGTGAACATCAAACATTTGCCTACAATAAATTTACTTACTAAAAGCCCCCTTCGAGATGTTTGTGTAGTTACTTTTCCTCTTATCTACGATACATGGATATAGACACGGAGATACAACATGACATGACATGACATGAGGATACGTCAAATTTACAAGGATAATTGTTGTATGACCACAAAAGAATACAACACGACATGACACGGGAATACGAGGATACTACCGTGTCCATGCATCTTAACCTCTCATTTCCTAAACTCAAGCATTCTGTTTCGCATCCTTCTAATGACATTCTTTTGGGAACTCCATTGTTGTTTTCTCAGGAAAGAAACATCAAACCAAATAACATTGTGGAAACGAAGGGACCCCTTTTGAATTCGAACCGAAGATTCAAACGAAAAGGGGCCTAAAAGAAGAAGATAAAAGTAAAACCACGGAAAAACATGGAAAGAAGTTAACATTTTGCAAATTTGCAACCTTATTTCCCAATTTGTTTTTGATATTTGAGTCCTCCTCATGGGAAGAAGAATTTCGACAGATGAGACAAACCGGCTAATCCATCCGTTGCTATCTTTGTCTTTCTTTGCTGCTGCCATGGCCGCCACCATTGCCATGATCACGGCTCTTTGTAATTTTCGAAGAAAATCTTCTCCGTCCCTTTCTGAATCCCCTGCTTCTAAGGAAGCAGAGGAATCCGATGCTTGCAATGTGCAAACATCGGAAACTGCATTGGCGGAGACAGGGAACAAAACACCTCAACAAGATTTGGAAAGAGATCAAGAAAATGAGGATCCAATGATGAGTAAAGAGTTGCCTTTGCCTCCAAGAATGAAGAACTCAGGACAACTTTATTCAGGACAGCTTTATTCCGGCAACCTCGACATGAAACCTAAATTGAAAAAGTCTGCTTCCGAGCGAAGGCTCTTCTCGAATTTGAGCATTAAATTGCCACGAAGCTTGTCGATGGCACGAAAAGATAAGGTAAAGGAAGAGTACAACAAGCGAAAGAACGGAAAGTTGAAGCCGGAAGACTCAATCTGGATGAAGACGATCATACTAGGTGAGAAATGTAAAGTACCTAATGAGGATGAAGTTGTGATATATGATGCTAAGGGGAGGAGGATTCCGGCTTATCGCCCAAAAAGTAGGCAATCCTCCTTCATTGATCCGAACGCATTACCGGACCAAAGAATGAAGAGAGTAGAAGTAGAAAACAAAATTAATCAAGAGGCTGAGCACAAACAAGAAAACAAACACCAAGAAAGTGATCAAGAACATAACGATAACGATGAGGATAATTAAGGTCAAATGTACATTTTTTTTATCTTAATTATTTGTTTATCTTGAAGTGTATAGTTTCATTGGCTTGTTTTGTTTTCGATTTGATCATGATCTTGAAGTGTATAGTTTCTTTGGTTTGTTTTGTTTTCGATTTGATCATGAGGCTGAAATTCTTTCTTTTTTTTTTTTCTTTTTTTTTTTTTGTGTGATGATCAGCCGATTTGATATCATTATCATGTTAAGATTTCAGGCAGACAGTAAAAGATGAACTTGCATAGTTGAACTTCCCAAGCCTCATTGACAACGAATAAAGAAGTAAGATTTAGAATTGATCCCAAAATTAATTAAAAAGTCTCATTGAAGGTGTGAAATTATAAGCCATGGTATTCTCAAATTTTCTATTATATTTGATCCCACACATTGGGATTGGGATCTTTGATGTTTGTATCATGTGAAGTCTCCATAATTTTTTCTTGGGTTTGATTTTTGTTATTGATGAATCACACGATGATGGTCAAAGTGAAGTTGAAATGTTTTTATCAGTTTTTTCGATCTCCAGAAAGTGACTAACATGACAAAATCATCAGCAAATCCCCTTAAAAAAAAAAAAAAACAGTTTCAATAATCATGTTGCCTCAGTAGCAAATATGTAAACACGTGTATACATACAAAACAGCTCAAGCCTCAATCTGTATTTCCAATAAAATTCTCAAAGCAAATAAGAATAACTAACATTAAATGATTCACGTAATATTTTGATTTAATAATACAATGTTGTGCGTTAAAACTTACTCACATTATTATTCTATCGAAATGAAGCGGCACGATAGCTGGCTTTGTTGAAAATCCAATTCCATATAAGTCATTATCCAAGAAGACAAGATATTGAGCATAAAGCATCACATTAATGTAGAACCTTATTATTTGTATGGATTCCCTTTCCAATAAAAAAAATTAGCTGGCTTGATACATCTGCATGTATCTATTAATTGAAGTAATGTTTATCATCTTATTTATGAGTTTAAATTTTAAGATTTGTATCTATTTACTAAACAGATCTCGAAATTCAAATCCATCTAACAGTAATAGATAGAGTGGTGAACATCATAATCACTTGATTATGGTGAACACAAATATTCCCTATATGATTTTCAACTTTCTTTAACCACTCAAGTCTAACACGTGGTGAGATTAGTTTCGATGTGAGTTTATATTCATTCACATCTACGATTTGTATGAGTCACACAATCCAAAGACATAATTGGTCTCTAATGTTATTCATTTACACAATTGAGCTTGTTTGAGATTGTTTTTGTAAAAAAATTATAAATTTAAGTTTCTTTTTAAAACATTTAAAAGTCCTTTTTGAAGAAGTAAATATGGCAATTCTAACCGTTAAACCCGATAACCGCTCAAATGAATTGGATTTGGATATGAAAATTCGGATATTTTGGATATGGGGAAAAACGATGAATATTATTCGGTTATGGTTTTGGATATAGTTATAAAGGTACCCAATCTGTATCCATCTCCAAATCCGAACCGAACAATATAGAATATAATTATATACAATATAATAGCATATATATGTGTTTGGACCCGATTTTACACCATCGGCCCGAGTAATCGAGGTCGTTGAGTGAGCATGGTTCTCAACCGTCAGATGAAAAAATAGAGATATTTTTGCTAAAGGATAATATTATGGATTTTATCATAATAATTATCTTGGTATCTTCTTAAACCAGATAAATAGGATGTGATTTATATCTCAAATAAAATAATACAGTTCGAATTGATTTGGGATGTCTGACGGCACTTGGAAGCTTAAAATGAATTTGAAATTCGTTTGATCAAAATGTATCCACGACAATAGAGATGATGGCTTTTGGTGATGAAGTGAGGATGAGATGAGAAACCTAGGTAGGCTAGGTTTTTAATGCATGGTGATGGTGTTGTCAGATTGAGTACAAGGCCATAAGAATTGATGATGGGATTAGGCCATATAGTATGCATGCCGTGTGGACTGGGCTAACTATATATATATATATATATATATATATATATATATATCAGAGAGCTTAAGGGGAGAGATCCCCATTTTTTGAAAAAAATGGGGATTAGGTGTGGGCCCCACTTCACATCAATTTCAACGATCCGAACTGTCTATTTTATTAGTCTCGATTCATAGATCATCCTTGCAAAAATTCAATTCAATCCGAAACCATTTGCCTATTTAATTATCAATATCAAATTTCATATTTTCTTATATAACAAAGTATTCGTTCATTTCCTTGAACCCAATTAGATGTCTTAAACATTTCCAATTTAGCTAATATTTTGCAAGGATGATATATGAATCGAGACTAACAAAATAGACGGTTCGGATCGTTGAAATTAGATGTGAAGTGGGCCCCACACCTAATCCCCATTTTTTTAAAAAAATGGGGATCCCTCCCCTTAAGCTCTCTGTATATATATATATATATGTATGTATGTATATGTATATGTGTATATATATATATATATAATAATTGGTGGCTATTTATTTGTTCATCTCCAAGCATGCGGATTATTTGGGGATTTGATGTGATAACTGATAAGAATAAACATAAGGATCGAATTTGGTTGTATTTTTGGCTAAGTTCAGAGTCTTGGGGGGAGTAAAGCTTATCCGAGGCTCAAATAAGTGGAAGAGTTCTAATAACATGGTAGTCTTTACCAGCTTATCAATCAGCGCATACTCGTCCTTATAAATACAAGGCTACAAACAACGTTAATGCTCCTCCAATTCAACACACAAACTGCCATGCGCAAACTCTTGCTCTACTCGAAACCTCTCAACAACCTTAAGATTTTTATTTTCTTTTTCGCCAACACATCTTCAGTTTGGATAAACAGTACTGTGAAAGCAACCCGCGAACATCTTCAGTTTGGATAAACGACACTATTGTCGTAAAATCAGCCGACCGCGAAGCACCTTAGTTTGGATAAACAGCATTGTGACGAGGCCGACTAGTTATCTATCCAAGTCTCGGTCGAGAAGGATTTTCGAATTCTTATTGGCAAAGGTCATCTCATTAGCCTTCTCGGCGAAGTGAGGTGTTACCAGGTTACTACATTCGGCACCCTAGGAGCTGAATTTGATATTGAACTTCGCAGAACTAGCAGCTTTGTCTTCAGGCTCTAGAACTTGAAGGCCGAGACGTGTTCCTTCCTTGGCCGCAGTCGCAAGATTCAGAATTCAGCAGCGTGCCCAACGGAACATCAACAAATTTTACTCAAATATTTAATAGTGAAATTAATATTTACTAGATTATAATACGTCAATTGAATGAATATATTTTTGTAGTGACGAAAATGGATATAACCGTTAATCAATGGGAAATCCGTTATCCGGTGGGTAAGGTTATAGATAATACCCGATGGTTTATTTGCGATTATGAATATGATTAATTTTCATAATTATAAGGATAAATATAACATTTTCATTCTCAAACCGAACCATTGCCATTCCTCTGAATAAGCATATTACACGTGAATTTTTATTTACCTAAAAAAGGAAAACTCTATTTTAACTTCAGCAGAGGGTACACCTAAAACTCCACGTGGACAAATGCTAGTGATGGATCAGTGTAGTCACATGTACACAATTCTAACCAATCACGCACATGGATATTTTATATTAATTTTTTTATAAAAATAATAAAATAAAAAATAAATGTTAATATAGTTTAACTGTAATCGTAAAAAACAGGAGAGTACGAGAAAGCTAGGGAGAGGGGAGGGCAGAAAATCCATCTCGATCATGCGCTCCCTCCATTTTTCCTTATTTTCCCTTTAAATATTTAACGCTCGTTGGGAAGAAAGAGAGAGAGAGAGAGAGAGAGGTACTGTCGACAGAGGATTCTGAGAAAGTCCGAGGAAACCTCTCCGTCTCCTTTTCTCCTCCCGAAGGGAGACGGGCACTTGATTCATTCATTTCCAACATCATAGGACCATCAAGAAAACATCATATATTTTTGCTAAATTCCAAATCATTCGTGCTCGTTCTTCTCTCTCACCCGAATCTTCCAATTCCAATATTCCTGGTAGGTTTCCAATTCCCTCTTCGATTCCTCCTCCTCCGTTTCCTGTTTCAAACAAAACCCACAAACCGATTCCTTTTTTTGCAACCAAAAGGTTGCGTCTTTCGATTGGATTAAAGGGGTTTCGATTGTTAGGAATTTGGGGTCTGTTACCGAAGGAGAAACCTTTGATGGGTTACGTGTGATTTTCGATTTCGTTTATGTTTCATGAGTGTTTGATCCTAGGATTTTTCGATAGTTTTCGGTTCGGGGGTTTGTGATTGATTCAATTGAGAATTGCTGTAATAATTGAAGGGGAATTTTGAGTGTTTTGGTGGTGTGGTTGCTCGGTCAGATTTATATCCTTGAATGTATCTTGTCATCACTGCGGTGGAGGATCGGTTTCTGAGTGTGCCCGACTCGATTCGGGGTGTTCTCAGGCCATTTTACCTGCACATTGAGCAAAAGCCCGTCTCGTTTTGTTTTCCGAGAGATAGATGGGATAAGGAGTTCTTCAAGTTGCAGGGCGGATAATAACTTACTTGTCGAATTTACGAAAGGTTCTGGCTTTGTTGGTTGTTTTGTTTCGAGGAATTTGAGATGGGTTCGACGCAAAGGTCTACCTTGCCTACTAATGTGGCGGAATTGGTTGATGCTTCCCCATCAAACGGCCAAGAGGTTTCGTACATTGGTAGTATGCCGGTTTATGTTAGGGAGTTGATTGCCGGTGGCGCTGCTGGGGGATTCGCTAAAAGTGCGGTTGCGCCGCTGGAAAGGACCAAGATACTCTTGCAGGTGAGGCATTTAACAACCTCCATGTTTTTCGAGGCTAATTAGTTTAGTATATAGTGAATGGATGTTTGAGGAATTTTTTCATTGTGAATGATTTTGCTCGGATATGTTTCTATTGCCATATTCTTCATGCTAGGCATCTTGTTGTTATCTGCTCAATTTCTGCATTTGTTTTCATGTACTTATAGACAAGGACAGAGTTCCGCTCTCTCGGAGTGTGGCAATCTCTGAAGAAGATATTCCAGCACGAAGGTGTTCGAGGATTCTACAAGTAAGTTAGACGTGAACAATTACTGTTTGAGTTTCGATATCAAACTTTATACATGTCTCGGTAACAATTATTCTCGAACTTTCTTGTCTGTTTTTCAGAGGAAATGGAGCAAGTGTTGCTCGAATTATTCCTTATGCAGCCTTACATTACATGACATATGAGCAGTACAGGTGTTGGATCTTGAATAACTATTCTGCTTTAGGATCAGGGCCTCATATTGATCTTTTAGCTGGTGCAGCAGCCGGAGGGACAGCAGTTTTATGCACTTATCCCTTGGACCTAGCTCGCACCAAACTTGCTTATCAGGTCAGTGTTTTGCATATATCTTATCGGTACCTTTTTCTTTTGTGTCAAAAACGATTTTTGTAATAGTTCATTGATTCATTGTTTAATCTCTTTTTGTTATGGTTTTACAGGTTGTTAATACCCGAGGAAACATTAATTATGGCATGAAAGGCACCCACCATCAAATTGCTTATAAGGGCATAAGGGATGTGCTTTCAAGTGTTTACAAGGAGGGGGGCTTCCGTGGTCTCTATCGAGGTGTAGGTATGCATTTGCTTCTTTAATTATGATGTGGCAAAACCATTTGTCACCACATTCTGTGTATCTCATAGCTGAGTGTCCTGCTAAGACTTTACTGATTGGAGGTGCCGTTTGTTCATACGTGATGCAATATAATGGACAAGCTAATATTAACTTGGAGCTTCTTTTACTTGATCAGGCCCAACACTCACCGGAATACTCCCCTATGCTGGTTTAAAGTTCTACATATATGAAGAACTTAAACTGCATGTTCCTGAAGAGTATGAAAAGTCCATTGTGATGCGTCTTTCTTGTGGAGCTTTGGCTGGGTTATTTGGGCAAACTCTAACATATCCGTTGGATGTTGTTAGGAGGCAAATGCAGGTATCACTATGTCAATGTTATTTATAATTTTGTAAGTGTAGATTCGTTTTCTCCCTTCTGCCTTTTAAATTATTAGATGTTTGTTGTGAAATGAAGTTTGTTGCAATAAGGAGCACGGAGTCATAAGGTTATATGACATTTAATTTGGATCTTCACATATATTGTGGGATGTTACAGGTCGAGAATCTGCATTCTTCAGATCAAGGTGGTGTTAGGTACAGAAACACGATGGACGGTCTTAAATATATTATCCGTAATCAAGGATGGAAAAAGTTGTTTTCCGGCCTAAGCGTTAACTATATCAAGGTGATTTCTTATTCTCTTTGGGCCAAATCAGTATACTTTGTCTGAATTTCAGATTTGATTGAGCGTGCTTTTGTGGGGATAAATTTGTGTTTTTGGTTCTCTGTTGATACTTCAATTAGGTATCTTTTCTTTATGCTTTTCTTGAAGATAGATTCAATAGAGATTTTAGGGAAATAAAACGCCTACGTTTTCATTGGAATGTGATGCATGTTTCCCGTTATTCCATTGCATTTGAAGTAGAAAGTTAATAGCTTTAAGAGTTCACATTTCATATTATAGCTATGCTGGTTTCGAGCTTCGGCCAAGATTTGTCTTGTTAACGAAAGATTTGTACTGTGTCGTCAGATTGTTCCTTCTGTGGCAATTGGTTTTACTGCGTATGACACGATGAAGGGTTGGCTCCACATTCCGCCCCATCAGAAAGCCCAATCAATAACTAGTGCTGCATAACCAGAAATTCAGAATGTGTAAGCTTACAAACTCCACCCAATACTTGGAATCTGGTGCTAATACAAATATTGCGATTTCAGATTCAACCTCTTTGATGAGTAGAAATCGTCAAATTGTACAGTTATCACGGGCTTCTTTTTCGTCAATGCTGAACTGAGAGTATGTGTTTGTGAGCATATATTCAAGCAAATTTCTATCTTGGCCAATTTCTTACATCCTTCTCTTTGACTTCCTTCAACCCAGTGGTCAATGGTCATCTACTGCACGGGAAGTACAAGGAAGAAGAGTAAGATGAGCGTGGATTCTAAAACTCATCTGGATTATTGATTTGCATTTAAAATTTAGCTTAACCTTGATCATAATATTAAATTTAATTACTGTATTTCAATATCTACATTCACCTCTTTCAGACCCTGCGTAAAGCGGGAGCCTTGTGCACTGGGTACGACATTTTTACTGTATTTCAATATCTGATGCTCGTGTAGCTATGTGGCCATTATGCTATGATGGGTTGTATTTGATTCAAGTGTTTCCGTGATACCTTATTTTGATAGCCGATATTTTAAACTACTTTAATCTTAAGGGTAAGAAGGCCGGGATACAACACACTGACCGACTGACCTAATCTACGCCTGCCCGTTTCCTTGATACCTAGCCTGCACTGAATTGTATGGTGCTGGAGTGATCAAGGCAGGTTCAATCATTCTTGGGACACAGACCTAAATTCTTCAGTGATTGCAACATTCAAGGATTGAGATGCTAAAGACACAAGCTTTTTGGTTGAATGGGCACCACAGAAACAGTTGGGGTGAAATCCATGAGCTTTAAAAAACAAGGAGAGACGATTCAGAAACTAATAGCAGCTCCAATGGCTTTGATAAAATTTACATAGAAAGGCCAATAAGCTTCAAAAATCGGGTATCTACATAATTGAAAATTAAGGCATCTGATTCAATATTTGAGAATTTGCTCGACGGCTCAAAATGTTTACTTCATATGGCTAAAAGATTAACTGAGAATCACCGTGATGGACACACAGATTAGGATAAAGACCTATTTGTTCTACCAAGTTTCGGTTTCCAATTTCAATTTAGTTATTCAAAATGTGTTATGCTACATTATGCTACAAGTGTGAATGGAAATTTGTTCTTTGATTAAGATAATTAACAAGTGATTTGTCCAAGCTCTAGATTAATACTATTGTTTAATTAATGCAAATTGTCATTCATTAATGTAGATTATATATACCTACCCAAAAGATGGAATAGATTCAAGAAAGACTGCAGAAGTCATGAGTCAAATTTATTTAATCTCACTGTTCGTGGCGGAAATTCCCGTGGGGGATGCTTCCTGTCCGACGAGCACACAGCTCCTCAAGAGGTTGGCGCCGGTTGATGATTTTCTATCGGGCTCCTGCTTTACTGGCGGGCTTGTCAAGCAAGGCTTGTCGGGCAAGGCTGAAAGAGAAAGACAGAGTTAACTTTGAAAGGTGCCTTTGTGAGGCCTTAGGTGTAGGCCTTGAGGCTCACAATCAAGATTAACTTTTAAGTGTTCAGGCGTGCCACTGCCATCTTCAGGATGGCAGATGTAGAACGGATGTTTGAGTTTAATTATATATTCAAACGACTATGTTAGTTATTGACAGGTGCCTTTGTGGGGCCTTAAGTATAGGCCATGAGGCTTCCCATAAATAACTAACTTAGTACTCGAACATATAAGGTTCCTTTTCTTGGTTATGTAGGTCTTATAACCATCATACTTTTGATTACCTGAACTCAAAGAGCATAATGGATCCAAATAGGTGCCTTTGTAGGGCCTTGAATAGGCCTTGAGGTTTCCCATCAGAACCCCTTCCATTCTCAATGTTCTTGCCCGAGGAACATGATGAATCCAAATAGGTGCCTTTGTGGGGCCTTAGGTGTAGGCCTTGAGGCTTCCCATCAGAATTCATCCCGTCCCCAAACGTTATATGGTAATCATAATATAACAGCAATAAAACTAAGTGACAGGTTGATTACTTGCACCCCAAGTAACTTCAGACTTCTTGTTATCAAAGCTTGTAGTGGATGGGTTAAGTCCACATCAGGTTCTTTTTTATGCCTTGAGACCAAGGACTTTTAGGGTGATCAAATCTTATATGCCCGAGGGCTTAGAACTTAGATCTAACTTGAACTGTGGAGACATATTCAAATCGAATCTAAGCACTGAGAGGATCTTTTAATAGCCATATTACTAGAAATAACTTGGATATAACTTGTAGTATACAACATATTGCTAGGCTAATGAATGAACAGACAAAAACAAAGAGGGTCGGGCAAGGTTTAACCTTGTCGGGCAAAGCTGATCGTCTTGCAAGAGGTTTGAAAGCTTAGAAAAAGGGTTGGGAGGTGACTTTACAGAAGAAATCGATACTACATCAAGAGTTGAACAGGGTAGCAGAGCTATTACAAGAGGTTTATCCCGAAAGGGATGAAGGCTTGGGCTGACTACAGCTTCGTTTTGAAGGCAAATCTGGCTTTTGAGAAGAGTTTGTGCTTGTATTTGTTTGTTTAAGTGTCCTTGATTCTGACCTCTCTTTCTCCTTTTATAGACACCTTGGCTTGGCCTCCTGTAGTAGCAACCTTGCCCGAATGCAGTTTGAAGGGTAGTGACTCATCAGCTATTTTACTTGTACTGCCATTTAAAAGTACTTTTTGGGCTGTATAGCTGGCTGGTCTATACCACTTGGCCTTTGGGTAGGTGAGCAAGTGGTCTGCATGGCCTGCACCTAGTCGGAAAAAGCCTTCCCTGTCTTCTAGACTTTGGCTGGGTTTTGGGCTGAAGTTCGGGCTTTTCCTTCTCTTTTTGGGCCAACTCCCCCCTAAGCCCAAAGTTTAAGTTTTAACCCAAACAGTGCCCCCTTCAATCAATATTCAGATTCGAATTCCAGGCGCCAATATTGATTGAATAGGTTTCTATTAATACCCACGTCTTTCGTTCTCGGGATTTGCACACTTTTCAAAAGTAACCACCGCCTTTCTTCGGTCAAGCCCATCACTCCCGAATCTCCTGCATTCTTCTCATCTCCGTAATCGAAAACTTCCTAATCCTCATGTTCACTTCTTCCTTTCAAACTTCATCAAAATGGCTTCAGGATCCAGCCAAATCCATCTATCATATGAATCTGGCAAAGGTATCGCCACTTTGCGCCATTTACTCAACGGCCTGCATCGCCCTCGAGCAGGTTTGTATTCTGAGCTTTTCTTTGAAGTTCATGGAGTACAATCGTTGGGTCCTGCATGGATTTCTCGGGTCCCTGCAGTGATAGAGGACAATATGCCCAAGGATAACTGGTTCTCTCCAAATCCCTATTTGGCTAAGTCGGGCATTTCCTCATCTAAGTGGTCGTCATATCGCCGAGGCTTTCCATTGATGAATGATCCGGCTTAGGTCCAATGGATTGACGAACTAGAGCCAATTTTCAAGAAGAAATGGATGAATAATGGCATTTATGAGTTGATAATGCTCTCAAAAACCACCATTATTCCCAAGCCTGAACTGCTTGTTTCCTCTATTCTTTTCTGGAACTCGGGCACAAACACTTTTGACTTTCGCATGGGTCCCATGTCTCCGACTATTCTAGATATGGCTCAAGTCTTCGGGCTAAGGCCATCGGGCAGGATAGTATACGTTACTCAAGATTGGGCTCTTCCCTCGATTGCTGAAAGCTCAGGTTCATCTGCATCCTTCCTCTCCCTGGAATATAACTCTACAACCTTCAAGAGTTACGGGACCTCGTTCAAGGGATTCATCCCTTTTGTAAAAGAAAACTTTGGAGCAGGTTCTTCCCGTGCTGATAGAGATCAAGAGCACATGTATTTCCTTCTATATTGGCTCAATAAACACATCTTCCCCAACAAATCTAAAGGGATGAAGGTTGAATGGATCCCCTTAGTGGAAGCTCTTCATAATTTTGACGATGTGGCAACAGGTTCATTCCTTCTTTCTCATCTTTACCATCTTCTCTTCGAAATGACTCAAGGCGAGCCATTTGAGACTAACCTGAATGGACCCATATGGATGATACAAACATGGCTCCAATGGTACTTTCCAGAGTTTCGGGCTGCCAACTTAGAGTTCCCAGAAGGTGTAGCCCCTGCTCGAATCCTTGCCGAAGCTGCTCCTACTGATCACTCCACCTTCGCCTGTTTTTATTTTTTCAAGGTTTGTAGGACTCGATCAGACCTGGAATGGGGTGCATCAGTTTTGAGAAGATATCCTTGGTTCTCTGACCAAGCCTTTCAAGATGCTCCTGGGGAAGATGCCACTTCTTCTTGTAGGGAAAAATTTATTAGTTGCATTCAATCAAGAGATATGGCCTGGGGAGTTTGGGGCAATCGGTATGATCGAGGGTTGGAGGTGTATCATCCCAACTTTTGCAGCAGGCAATTAGGCTTTAGGCAAGCCATTCCTATCCCATTCTTTGACTCCGTTCATTGTGGCACTTCCTTTCGTTTAGTATCTCCCTCTGAGGCGACCTTTAGAGCTGCCCGACGCAGTCTTGAAGTCATGAGTCAGGCTACCCGAAAGTCCATCATCCTCAATTTTGAATGCACTTCACTCTTCTCTTCTTGGTGGGAAGACAAATGGACCAAGAAATATGGAGGAGACTTGAGAGAAACTCATGATCGCTTGTTTGGTCAACTTTCTCTTAAATCATACCCTAGTTCGGGCGAACTTGAAAATTGGAAGGAGATGATTCAAGAGAAGAATCGAGTTCTTCTAATAGGGAGTGCACCTCAAAAAACCCATGTCATGCTTTGTTACACTTTTGTTCCTTCTTGTACAAGAAATCCCTTGTTTATTGTGTTTGTCGAATTGTTGCAGGTGGAAGGCCATGGACTTTGTACTCTGAAACAAAGCTCAATATCTTTCTTCAACTCGGAGGAAACCGAAACTGCTGTGTCACGGTGGGCACGGTCTAGGACAAGGGCTGCCAAGGTAATTTTTGGTGACACACACGTATATGTATGTATGTATATATACTGATATACATATATATATGAATCAGATTGCTAATTAAGATGTGTTTTGTGGAGGTTAATTCAAAATTAACTGCGTAAGTTTTGTGTGTTTTGTAGATAGGGAAGGGTTTGTGCAAGGACGAGAAGGCTCAGATACTAGCTCCTCAGTACTGGCTTGAAGCTGTGAGTCTATATATCTACCTTTAAATTTCTTGATCTTGTTTTGAAGTTTTTGATGCAATAATTTTTCATTGCTCCATCTTTTTATCAGATTGATCCATTGCATCGGTGTGGAGACAATTTGCAGTTATACCGTGAAATGTGGTTGGATTGAAATACCAGCCAACCTTTCTTGTACTGGTAAGTGTCCGTCTGTGTGTTTGCCTGAGGAAAACCTTTTGGTTTCTACGACAGTTTAATTTGTATGATAAATGATTAGCTTTTTTGTTTCTTCTGTTGCCATGGTAATATTGATAATCTGTTTTTCCTCCCCTCGAACTTAAGGTTGGATGTTGGTGAGGGTAAAGATATAAATCTCGAGAACTGCCCGAGGATCGATCTGCAACG